GAACGCGAACTCAGAGGAGTACTCTGGCGATGACGTTTGTAGCTACACTCGCGACGACAAGCGCAAACGTGGCTGTAATAGTCGAAACCAATTGTCTTAGCCCCTGGCCAGCACACCGGCCAGCCCAACCACCCAACCCACAAACCAGCCAAGCAGCACCTCCAGCCCAACCGCCACCACACCAACCCTCCTACCCCCGCCGCCAGTCCCGTCACTGCCAAGGGGGGACTTGCCAGCGAAAATGGCTGCGAGCCGCATTCCAGGCCCAGACACGCGGCGTCCCGATTCTTCCATACGCGGCCCCCGGAAGCCCCGACCCTTCCCCCGGGACCGGCTCTTCATCCTGCATAATCCCACCAGCCCTCTGGGCGCAGGTGGTTTGGGGAGTTTCCTCTTCCACCCCTCCTTCTTCCCCTTCGGGGAGGGGTTTACCCCTCCTCCTACCCCCTCCCCTGGACCTGGACAGGGGGGAATCGTCGAAGCGTCCAAAACGGCCTCGGCGAGGAAGCCAAAATCATTGGTTTTACTATGGTTTTGGCCCAATTGAACCCACCCCTCCTGTGATCGATCTCTCCCGAGATGGACCAAAGATGGACCCCAAGGCTCCCAAGGGTGCCCCAAGAGGGCCCCAAGAGGTGGCCAGGAAGCTCCAAGAGGCCCCCAGGATGCCCCCAAAAGGCTCCCAAGAGACCCCCAAGAGGCCCCAAGAGACCCCCCCCTCTGAGGCACCCAAGATGCTCCAAGAGGCCTCGGCGAGAATGCCAAACCATTGATTTTACGAAGGTTTGAATCACATGTTGGCCTCTTGGGGGGGGGCACTGATCAAGATGACTCCTAGAGCGCCTGGGAGAGTCCAGGATGACCTCCAAGATGGCTCAAGATATCCCAAGATGTCTCCTAATGACTTCCTCTGTGTGCTGCCCACTTCCCTGATCGAGGCAATTCCTCTGGGCATCGTTTCTGGATGGGCTGGTGGGGATTCGCGAAGCGTCAGCAATTTTTGACTGTCCCGGGGCCCAGCGAGGGCCCCTGGAGGTCGAACACGGCGAACAACCTCCGTCCTGAATTTTTGTACGACGCGATCATGTCGGCTACACGCAAGAGTGACCCTGGGTGAGAGTGACCTTTGGTGCGCGGCGTTTTCGGGGCCGCGGGTGGGCCAAACACAAGCGCGCAAGACGCCACTGCCGCATCGCGTTCGGGGGACCCCATCGGGCCCGCACCAAAGGCCACTCCGGCGAAGGGTCACTTTTACGTCTGGTCGATCATGTCTGGGGAGACATAGCTGGCAGCCGGAACTTGCCAAATCGAACCACTCCGTGGTGGACCGGCCTCGGTCCAGAGGGGGGCCAAATCGCACCATACCCAGGGCTGGACCCAAACGTTGTCTTTGGTCTTGTCTTGGCTTTGCTATTCGTTTTGCTCTACCTGCTTTCCTGCCCCTCCCTGCCAATGCGAAAAAATAGAGCACTGCCCTGGCTAGAGGCCTCCTAGATAGGGTCCGAGTAGATGGGGTCGGAGGATCGCGTCGCATCGCTGATACATCGGCGATGTATCGGGCGATGCACTGGCGATGCAACGTCGACATCGGCGGTGCATCGGCGACGTCGACGTAGAGCAAGTCGGGCTCCACATCGAGCCGCATCGCCAATGCATCGGCGATGCGGCGCGATCCTCCGACCCCATCTACTTCGACCCCATCCAGGAGGCCTAGACTGGCCCGGGGGAGCCACACCATCGGAGACCAGCCTCGCGGACGGGCGCCCCGAGCACGTGGGGGTTGGGGGGGGGGGGGCAAACTCGCACCGCACCGTGAGGGACCGGCCTCCTGGGCGGGCGCCCCGAGCACGGTCGGGGAACCCAAGCACGACACTGTCCTGAACCGAGCGAGGAGGAGGAGGAGGAGGAGGAGGAGGAGGAAAAGGAGGAGGAGGAGGAGGAGGAAAAGGAGGAGGAGGAGGAGGAGGAGGAGGAGGAGGAGGAGGAGGAGTGCACCTGAAACCACCCCCAGGAAACCAGTCAGGGCCGCGGGCGCCCTCGGGGGGCGCAGCACCGCCGGAGAGCCGAGGAACGACGATGCGCCGTTCCCCCGGAAAACCCCCCCACCGCACGGCGGGCGGGCCCAGCCACCACGTCAGCCAGCCGAACCAGCCCAGCCAGCCGGGCCGCAAACCCAGCAAGCAGACCGGCCCAACCCGCCACCACGCCAACCCACCCAGGGTGGGGACATGAGAGAAGGAGCCATTGGACAGGGAACCCAGGGCCTGGAAGCCAGTGGCACTCCAGTCGTGGACTGGCCATGGATATCACCGCCGCCCTCATCAGCTAAGGAAGCTTCCAGGGTCTGCAGCATCCTGGGCGCATTCCTTAATTAGTAACGCCCCCACCGTATCCCCACAGGCCTGCCCTCTGTCTCCTCTGGCGGGCCCCGCGGAGCAGGGGCGCGGGGAGAGCGGCGGGGAGGCGAGTGGGGTGTTCGGGGCACCCGCGAGCCGCGGCGCTCGGAGGAGCCGGAGAGTCGGAGCACGAGGAGGTGGAGGGAGGAGGGAGGAGGGAGGAGGGGGGAGGAAGGAGGAAGGAGGAAGGAGGAAGGAGTAAGGAGGAAGGAGGAGGAGGAGGAGGAGGAGGAAGAGGAGGAGGAGGAGGAGGAGGAGGGAAGAGGCCAAGAAGAAGCATCAAGGGATCGGAACCACGAGCGGGGGCATGCGGAAGACTACGAGGACGAGAAGGAGGATGAGGAGGGACACATGAACACTAATGACATAGCAAGAAGGAGTCAGGCGGGACGAAATAAGCAGGGATCAGGATGGGGGAGGGCGCGAGAGGGAAAGCACCAGAAATCACATCATTCCAAATAGTAACTTTGATCGCGTTGGTTTCTGCCCCAGCGAGGAGCGTTACAGGGTAACAGAGGTTGCTGGTCGTACTGGTACTCATGGTAATCGATGTTCGCATTGATCCTTATAGTCCTTGCGGTTGGGGCGGCAGGACAACAAATGTCATTACTCTGTGGGCCCTGTGATTCCTAGTGGTAGTAGTCGTCGTGCTAGTAGCAGCAATAAAAATCCGCCGACCCTGTCGTCGTGTGGAAGAGGCTGTTCCATTTGTCTCGTCGTCGGGCCCTCCTCCTCGAGCGCGCCCAGCCATAGCGAAATTCAGCAACGTTGTAGTTGAGTCGACGGGAAGCCCCTTCCCTTTGATCCCTTCCCCGCCGGAGGGGGGGGGGGGGTCCGGGGGGGGGGGGGGGGTCTCGGGGGGTGATCCCGGAGGGTCCCGGGGGGGGTCCCAGGGAGGTACCGGGGCAGATACGACCCCCCCACTCTCCGCCACTCCCGTTTCCCTCCCTCTCCTGACCCTCTTTTTCCTCGTTCGGCCACGAACGCGCTGCCCAAAAAACAGTTGGTCGTCCATCGTCGTCGTAAGCGTCGTAGTCGTCATCGTCGCCGTCTTGGTCGTGGTCGTGGTCGTGGTCGTGGTCGTGGTCGTGGTCGTGGTCGTGGTCGTGGTCGTCGTCGTCGTCGTCGTCGTCGTCACGTCGTCCATGTCCACCATCAGCAAATGCGTCCCTGCTAGCCTCGCTCTCACCCCTGCTCTCCCCCCCTCGTCGTCCCTCTCCCCCCCTACTCGTCCTCCTCCTCCCCCCTCGCACCTCCTCCTCCTCCTCCTCCTCGCCCCTCCTGCTCCCTAGCGTTCTCTGCCACATGCTCCTCAACATCCTCGTCGTCCTCGTCGTCGCCGTCTTCAGGGTCAGCGGCACCGTCCGTAAGGCCTTCGCAGTAGGCGTAACATAACAAGGAATGCCAGCAGGGATCTTACCGCGATTCCACATCTCGATCGTATAAACAATCGCCGTAGTATCGGCAGCATGTACTAGCATGTGTGTCTAGCACGTGCAATGTAGTCTGTATCGTGTAGAACGTGGAATGAACTATGTCGTGTTAGCATCGATCGCCGTAGTACATGACGACTTAGACGTTTAGAGCAATGTCGAGCCGATAAGAACACCATCCGTGGTGCGATGGAGAACAACTCTGGCGTTGACTCGTTCGCCTTCCCCCTCAACAGCACAGTGCGGGCCCGCATCATTGTCCATGTGCGCGCAACTGGCACAGCAACCATCAAAAGCGAGCGCTTTCAACATCGCGCGTCCCAGACAAGCCGATTGGTACATCAATCATCTGCACGTCTTGTACCCGCCTTCGCTTCGGCAGGCATCGGTCATCCAGAGAATGTCCACGGCTTTTACCTTCTTTCTCGACCCCCGATTGGAACGAACATCTTGTGCCCCGCACTCTCTGGAAGCCTTCACGTCTCAGAAGTTCTGGTGCGAGATGAACGCGAGGGCCAAGGAGGCCGCAATCGATATGGTCAACGGACTGACAAGGTACTGGTAAAACAGAAGCGCGGACATGTCCTTGGCAACCTGGCCACCGCGCATCTGCGCGAGCAGCGCGAGGCTCTCTGCGGAGGGCATGCAGGTCTGCAGGAGCAGGACGAGCAACATCACGGGGTCGAATGCCGAAGGGCACCGCCGGAAAGCCAGGAACACCGCCACGGAGCCCAAGCACGGCATGACTAGCAACCGCCCGGCGGCCACTGCCGCGACCACCTCCACCCCCACGCCGCTGGCGTCAGGGCCTTTCGCCAGGCTGGCGCCCAGCACGACCATGAGCATCGGCAGGGTGGCGTCGCCAAGGAAGTCTACGCCCTCCATGAGGAATCCAAGCGGGGCCTCGCCACCGTAGAACCATGCCTTGACCGGACCCAGCGCGATCAGCAAGCCGAGCGCACATGACATCGTGGCAGGCTCTTTCATCATTGTTTTCGCAAGAGAGTGGGGCTTCTTCATCATTGTTCTGCAAAGGACTGGGGCAGAAGGGCTGGGGGTCTCCTCGATCAGCGCGCGCCCGATGGTCCAAATCCCTACCTTGTTGAAGATGCTGAACACGCTCACATAGGTGATCGAGAGCCGCTGCGCTGCCTCGACGCTTTGGCCACCGTAGAAGGACGGGTGTGAGCTCAGGATCGGCTCGATGAGCGCCAGCGGGAGGGCCGCTGTATTGCCGAAGGTGCAGCAGGCCATGATGATCGATCTGCTCTTGTCGCCGCGCTGCCCCAGCATGGCGGACAGAGCCTTGCCGAGCGCCAGCCCGAGGGCAAGGTTGCCCACCGCGAACAAGGGCAACACCCACATGGCAGCCAGCTTCGATGCCGTGACCTGGGCGCTGAGGCTGGAGAGGAGAAAGCACGGCAGCAGCAGCTTGCCGGTCAGTCGCGAGATGTCCTCCACCGCCTCGGCGCCCACCAGGCCCGCACGGACGCGGGAGGGCGGAAAACCACGCGACCGTACGCTTCGCACGTTCGCGGACGGCAGGGTTTTGCCAGTGTTGGGTCGGGCATGTCCTCCTACAGGCGGATTTAGCAGGAACAGCAAAAGAACAGTCAAACACTGCTCCAACATAACCGAACATAGTCGAAACATCGTCCCCAGACTTTTTTTGCGTGTGACTATTTTTGGACTTTCCTCCTCTAGAGGGACACGCCCGACTTACTGCCAGTGCCAGACCCCCTCCACCCCCCGCGCGCGAAAGGCGATGGGGGCGTCGCCGAGGGCACCGCCCCGGGGTGCGCGCAGAGGGTCGGGCGGCGCCCGACGTCAGCCCGCCGTCGACATCCCGACACCACCGCCGCGCCTTCCCAAGGCAGGCTCGTGCCGTGTCGACTTCGGCCTTGGTTCCTGACACTGCACGGGGATCGCTCAATCTTGAACGATCGGCCGCTTCCGAGACGAGAGTCGCTCAGCATCGACCGGTTCTGGGTCGCCGGCGGCGTTGAACGTTGAACGCGGGCGGCGGTGTGGCCGCTGGTCGACACGTCGACACGACACGAACCCACCGTACCCTGGGCCCTGGCACAGCGTGCACGCCCTCCTCGTCAGGGCCCAGGATGGCCCCGGTCAGGCACGGCCGCAGTGTCGGGATCCCTCATGCGGGGCCTGCGGTCGGCAACTCTTGCTCGGCATGTCGCGGCGGCGGCAGCGGCGAAACACTACGCCCTGCGAGCGGATAGCGTCTCGCTCCGCTCCGCGGGGCGGGAGGCTGGGACGCCTGGCAGCTGGGACGTGACTGGCGTGTCGCGCCGCCGCGTGGTGGGCCAGAACCGGCGGCGCGACACGCTGGGCAACAGTTCCTGACCGCACTGTCTGCGTGACTCTCTGGCCTCCGAGGATGGCGAGCACCCCCGCCAGCGCGGCGACGCACGACTTGCCCACGGCCCGCAGCGCACTCAGCAATATGCTCAGCGCCATCCGCGCGCGCGCGGCCCCGCCTCGCCGTGCGGCCAGCTGCCGGCGGGCGCCGGCGCGGCCGGCAGGTCGTGGCGAGCAACAGTGCGGGCCCGGCCGGCCGCAAACATGTGAGCACGCCACCCGGAGCGGGCAAGAACAGGCTTGAGCCGAGGGGCTGCGGACGAGGGTGCGGCGCCAGGTGGCACCAAGGTGTCGCGGTGAGACGCCCTCGGCGAAGCATCGCGGGCGGCGCTTCTCCCGGCCCCCTCGCTGTGTGCCCCAAATGCTCCAATCAGCGGCCTGAATCGGTGCGGCTGCGCCCATGCGCGCAGACCTCATTTGGGCGTTGGCGCCCAGCCAGCGCGCTGCGGATGAGGAGGTTCACTGCTCACAGATGGGGTTGGGGAGGGGAGAGGGTCAGGAGGAGGGGAGAGGGGATAAGAGAGGCGCGAGGCAGAAGAAGAAACCCCAGATTGGCGAGTTCTCCTTGGACTGGCCTCCCACCCGCTTCAAGCGTCAAGCGGGGAGGGCACCAATACGAAGACTCGTTGACCCAGTGGCGAGGTTCTGCTCCCCGCCAGGGGCCCTCAACCAGATGAGTGGCGGATGGAAGGACCTGGATGGGTGCGTGGAGTTCCCTGGGTAAGGGACAGGAGGAGGAGGGAGGAGGAGGAGGATGAGGAGCAGGAGGAGGAGGATGAGGAGGAGGAGGAGGAGGAGGAGCCTGCAGGACGGACGGCTTCCAGCGGAGGCGGGCACACGAGAGACAAAAAACTTCCGCGCTCCCCGGAGAGGAGTGCGGCGGCGCGGACCCTGGAGGGGTATCCACGTCCACTCCTCCTCTTCCTCCGCCTCCTGCTCCTCCGCCTCCTCCCTCTTCCTCCGCCTCCCCCTCCTCCTCCTCCTCCTCCTCCTCCTCCTCCGCCCCCTCCTCCGCCCCCTCCTCTTCCTCCCTCTTCCTCCCCTCCCCTCCTCCTCCTCCTCCTCCTCCTCCTCCTCCCTCCTCCTCCGCCCCCTCCTCCTCCTCCTCCTCCTCCTCCTCCTCCTCCTCCTCCTCCTCCTCCAGAGGTCTCCCGTGGAGGGGCATCGCACCCAAGCCTACTCACCCTCCCCCCGCCACCTGGGGGGGTCATTCTTCCTCATCCTGTTCCCCTGCTCCCCCTCCTCCGGAGGTCTCTGGAAGCCCAGAGATGGGCCGAAGACGTCAAACAACT